GGTTGGGGACGGGCTGAAACAGCACCTTCCACGGCCCTCTCACGCAAGTGAGAGACAAGCCGCTCAACCCCCTTTGTGTGAAATCCTGGTGTTTGTGTGTGTATGGGGGGGGGGCAGGTCGTGCTGTGGCGCGCGCAGGCATGGTCAGTCGACCGTGTCAGCCACCGCGCCTATTTCCCACTTTAGTCTGCTGACCGGCTCGGGCAGCGGCTGGGGTGTGGGATGGGAAGGGAGAGTGAGGTCGACGACTCAGCGCATTTACCTCACTATAAACAATCTGACGCGCTTGAAGCTATCACGGTGCGCTAAAAGCCGTGGCTTGGAAGGTTGCCAACTGACGGGGTACCTTGGACCTCTTCCTTCATTGGAGGCGGTATGAGAGTCAGGCTGCAATGGCTCCTTTTTAATGTAGCCTTTATGGCATACCCATCACAGTGTGGGATCCGAGCCAGGCGTTGGCGGCACGCCCAGGTGCGGCTTCGGCCGTGCCAGCCTCCAAATGTCTGTTGTGTTGGTTGAAATCCTGGTCATTTGCTGTGTGGACCAGGGGGTGTGGTGGAACGCCAAGGCGAGGATCCGTCCGAGCCATCCACCTGCGGCCTCCCTCGTCTCCGGTCTTCTTGACTCTGTCTTGACACCGGGCACAGGCGGGGGAGAAGGGGAGAGTGTAGGTAGATGCAGCGCAAGTCTACCCGCACTAAAACCCCTGCGCAAGTCACCGTCTCTGCTCCCACTTGCTGTGAGGCATACGGTGGACATCATCGAAATCGATGGTCGAACTGTCGGTTCGCCACTCTCTATGCGATGAATTCGCATTCGAGCGAACACGCTGATGCGTGAGATAGACGTGCGGTGACAGTGTGGGCAGGATAGGTTGGGGGATGTTCCCCTTATTGTCGTTGTAATGCCGCTAGTGGTGGGCAAGTTGGTCGACAGGGCCTTGATTGGGCTGGGGATAGTAGAATTAGCAGATACGCCAAATATGCTAGATTTGTCGATATTGCGGCGAATTCCAATGTTGTGGATACGCATGCAACCGAATAATGCCATGCGGTGCATCAATGTGCGTGGACAGTGTGGACGGCGCAAGCGGGTGCGGCTAGCGTATGTGGGGGCCCTTGGTACTGGTGTAATGGTCTCAGTGCGATGGGTTTCTAAAAGACACCAGCCAGGGCGACGCCTGAGGGAGATGTGCGATCGCGATAAGGACAGGTTGGGGTCGGGTCCACATCGCTGAAAGTGGGGATGGTGAGGGTGGGGGTGGTGGACGGGCCGTGGGAAGCGCTCCGACCGGTGGTGGGAGCGGTGGTCGTTGTCACCGCAGAGGTTCTGAGCATCGGTGGCGAGGATATGAGCCGCCGTGGGCGCCGTGGGGATTGGAGCAGGGTCAGTCAGGGAGGCAGCAGTTGGGGTCGTCAGGCTGTTATGAAGTGGTTCCGGAGATTTTCGACGAGGTCGGTCAGCGCGCGGAGTGCTCGTTGGCAGCGTTGATGTACTGGGTGGGGTTAGGTGTTGGTGTTGCGGATCGGAGACGCCTGAGACTTGCGAGCTTCTTTTTTGGTTTCAGCAGCGGCGATCTGATTGATTTCATATATTGCCGCGCCAGTCCTCACTGTTCTTCTCAACACAGGTCGGTTCTGTGTGAGGGTTTTCGGATCTACGGATTGATTCAAAATTATTTCAAGGAACTCTTCAGGATGTGCTTGTAGTAGTGGGTATGAGCCTCTTTCCGCGAGCACAGATGGCGAAGTTCCCGTAGAATAGTTGTTTTTGTGTTCGCTTATCATAAATCCTCATGAGAGGGCCGCTCCCTTGTAGTTGTAGATGACTCAGAATGGCGCGAATGCTGGGGATTCCTGTGCGCTCGAAATATTTTTCTATCGGTATCCTGTCCTTCCTTCTCTGCTTTAGTATCCGAATAAGACAACTGTGGGGACAGTGATTTGGTTCTGTGTTTGTTTCTTTTAGACTGTCCTGATCTTTGCACCATATAGCAGCGTCGTCAGGATGACAGTTTTCTATAACTTCAGTCTAGTGTCGAGGTGGAGAGCATTACGATTTCATAAGGATTTCTGCAGCCGGCCTAATATTTGGCTGGCTTTCGAGATCCTGTGAACCACTTGGTCTTCGATTTTGATGCAACGTGAGAGTGTGCTACCTAATGAGGCGAAGTTGTCCACGGTTTTTAATTGGGTGCCGTTGACGTGGACGTGAAGAAAATTTGATTCAGCGTTGAATGGCGATTGATGCATAGCCACAGTTTATTCCGTGTTGGTGATCAGCTCGAATTTGGCGCAGTCGGGGATGAAGTGATCTAGACTCTGTTGCGTGTTTACTTCTGTAGGTGTGCTGAGCGCCCAGTTATCTGCGAAGAACACATCGTAAACAGTAGTCGTAGAGAGACTCGTTGAGGCCGGCAAGCGCCGGCTGTTGAAAAGATGGCTGTCGGTCGCGCATGCGGCACCAATTCCGGGAAGCTCACCCGGTAGGCGTCGATCAACATGGCGGAGAACACTAAGCTGAAGAAGGTGGAAGCGAGTACGCAGCCCTGTTTCACTCCGTTCGTCCCTGCGAATGCTAGTCGATTTGGAACTGACGTGCTAAAGGTTGACATCGCTGCTCTCCGTGAAACTCGGTTTTCTGAACAAAGCCCACTGGAGGATGTGGGTGCTGGCTACAACGTCTTCTGGAGCGGCAGTCCAAAATCAGAACGACGCGACGCAGGCGTCGCCTTTGCCGTCTGGGACGACATCGTTAAGCGGCTGTCCTGTCTGCCGCAGGGTATCAACGATTGCCTGATGAGCCTCTGCCCGCCTCTCTAGACAGGCCAATTCGCCACCATCATCGGTGTCTACGCTCCCCCGATGACAAAACCTGACGAGACGAGGAACAAATTCTACGAGGACCTGCACACCATCCTGGCGCCTATGTCGAAGGCGAATAAGTTGATCGTCCTTGGAGACTTCAACGCCCGCGTCGGCACAGACCATCCCGTCTGGAGAGGGGTGTTGGGTTCCCATGGAATCGGCCGCTGCAACCCGTGCAAATATAGAAACATAAACACCCAGTTAAACACTAAGCAAGAAGAAGCAAATCAGAAAAAAGGCATCGAAAATAACTTCAAGTGGTGCAGAACAATTTTTGAAGGGCGGAAAGGTCGAAAACTCAAAAGTTGTGTTAGACTAAGTCACAAAGTGTTTAAGTGCACAATGAGTATAAAAGTGGTCGAATGTACAGTTACGACAGTATGCATAGATGAATGTCCAAAAACTCTTTTTTGTTTATCCTTGGCTGTAAGATCTTCCACCAATGCTTACTGATATGAAACAGCAACTTCAGACAGCTGCGCAAGACGTGAATTTAGCTGTTTATCTTTGACACTGCCGCAAATGCGATCAGTCATGGAAAAGATGGTTTTCTGAAAATCTCTGTTGGGGAAAGTCTCAAACATAAATACGTCACAAGATAATATGCTGAGAGCCTGCCCGCAAAGATCACTTGAAATTGTTTACGAAAAAGAATTTTTTACGCCTAAACATACTAAGTTCTTCCTAGCTATTTTTGGAGTCTGGTGAATTTCAAATCGTTTTTAAAATATCAGGGAACCCTTTGCAGTCTTCGATATCCCTAGTATACTTCCAGAAGAGGCGACTGCTGTATCTATGCTTTAGCTGAACACTCAGAACTGGCCACCTTTTGAGAGCAGCCACTTAATGTGTCGTTGGAAACCGTTTTCACTGAAACAATCTTTTGTGACCGGGGATTTACGCTGATCTAAACACAAAGCTTCATTTCCTAAGAAGGCACTTCACAACATAGACGAATGCCAAATATGCTTAGGACCTAATAATGGAACATCTTCCTAAAAATCTTCTTTCAAAAATTGTCATGCTCTTTGGTCTTAACGTTTTGTCGACAGTTAACAGTTTACAGGTTAACCGATCTGAAATATTAAATTCAAACGCGATTCTGCCTAGGAATTAACATCCTGCCTCACAAACACAGATCAATTGTTAGGTTTGAACGTTGTATACTCCCCTCGTTTTGACGAATGAACAAAACTCATGCGCAAGGGTACGGGCGCGGCCTGCCATATGCATTTGCAAAGGAAATTGCCTGACGCAAAAAGTATTGGTTTTCACCCAAAAATATTAAGTCAAAATAATATTTATTCCCAAGAAAAAAGCATCTTGCGCGACATATAAACCGTACATATAACAAGTTCCGCGTACCCAGTGAACACCCGAATTTCGTCATCATTTTCCTTTTGCTTCACAACATGTTGCATATTCCGGAAATGGAGTGTATTTTGGCAGGTAAGGAAGTGTGAAGATGGGCTGAACAATATCGCTCAGACAGTTCCCAGTAAGCAGGCGTCAAGTAAAGTTGCAGCCGGCAACTACCATCGCACCGTCCACCTTTTCTAGGAGGCTTAAACAACTCAAATAGCTCGCATTTAACACAAATTGACTTGCTACAATGCCTTCTTATCCCATCCCAGACACAGTGCTGTGCAGCTGCTCGACTGACTTGGGCGCCGATACACGTGCCCAGGCAGTCACAGCTGTCCACGCACCAAGTGGACACACGGAAGCAACCGCTTGAACACAGGGCGACCACCCCTCATACAATGCGACACACGTACCGTTTGGACATGAGTAATATTGACATAGTCAAGGTGAACATGAAAAGCGCCCGACATCACAGACTCTCTCGTTCAAACAGGACGTAACAACATCATCAACGTGCATCCCGGCCTCGCCATTTGCAACTGTCGCCCGAGACAACAGCTTAGTCTTCTGTGCAAAACAGTTCCTTCATCCTGCTGCCTTCCTTCTGTCCTGCAAGTGGGAACTTGGCCCTCAAGAGCTAAAGGTGCACGTGCATTTTGGTTATCTCGACAAACCTTCGTCTGGTAACCAGGTTGTTAACCCTGGTCAGATTACCGAAGAATTGAAAAGTGAAGCAACAACGTGGCCACTTTTGTCACCAAACCTGTGCACTCAGTGAGCTGTCTGCATCCTGGTTAGCGATGCCAGTCGCTTAGCAGACCGTGGCAAAAACTGAAAAGAACACACAGGCCATAAGTGAAACAATGCATTGCGATGGGCTAGACCATTAATCAGTGGCGGGGATACCATTCAGGCTGAGTTGGAGGGAGTTAAATTGGCCTACCCTCAGTGGTCTGGCGTATAAAGCGACAACTAACTGCATCAGCGTGACGCTAGATCCTAGATTTATTGCGAACACCGCTAAATCGTGAGGACAATCTGATGCAAGTAGAAACCTAATTTAATGTTGCACCCGGTGAATATGTGAGCAAAAGGCGGCCGTTACCCAGCTGCGGTGGAATTATGCACAGGCCCAGTGACGCCGATTCCTAATGAAGCGATCTCCGGAACAAGAGGTTTACCCAGACGTTTCGGGCTGCAAACTGAACCCATCGTCAGAGGTGTAAACGAATAAGGAACCAAAACGAACAGTAGCAAACCTACGTCTGCCTTTCGAGTCAGAGATGTCCCCTGCTCTTGTCCGTATTCTTCCAATATCAGTACTATTGGCAAGCCATCGATATGAAGACGTGGAGATCAATCCTCATCCTATGTTAAATTTCAATCGGAACTGTCTGCTAAAACATGCTATGATGAATGTCGTTTTGGCTTTAAAGAACGAGGAGCAATGGCCGAAACTTCAAAAGGCATAAGCTGTATGGCTACTTCAGGGGATGGAATGAAGCAGAAAGAGTCTATTTACGTCTGGCCGATAAATAACAGCACTTCAGTTGTAAAGACAAAATACGTTTCATATAAGATAGTACAGATGACAATCTCAAGGAACCTGCAGTTCCGTGCCCCAACAGATAAAACCGAGGTCAGCAATACTTAGATCTAACCAACGTTCAATGCGACAGGGGTTAAATGCAATACCTTTTATGCATGAACAAAGATGAGGGAAATACATAAGGACGTTTTCGAAAAAAACAAATAATATTCTATTTCAAAGACGAGACGGAGGAAACGACAGCAAGACAAGTGAGAAGTTGAAATATTGTTTTCTCTGAATAAAGTTGAATAAGGCAAAGGTGGCAAAACATGCAGAATTAAATGGCATGAAAAATTTTCTGGCCTTGCCCATAAAAGGCCAGGTTTGGCTCTCACAGCGGATTGCAAGATCGAAATGACCAATGGTAGCCTGGGATGCAGAAAGAAGTCATCTTATACAAAAAAAGATTGCCGTAAAAGAATGCTGATTGGAATAAGGGAAGGTGAAAAGCATAAAGGAGGCAAAACACAAATGAAGTAAATGCGAGGAAAGAGCAGATACTGCGCACGCGCGCTCTGCGAATATGCGGATAGTTGAAGATAGAGCCCAGTACCTCGAGCAGTATCGTCAAACTGGACCGATTTTTCCGGGTTCAGAAATTATCCAGATGGTCCTGTGAACGCTTATGCGATACGGCTAGTTTGTACTCACTCAGTTCTTTAGTAAGTTGGAGTTTTGTTCGGAAGCTGGACAAGGCGGAGATAAAAAGTGCCTGAAATAAAAAAAAGCCTGTAAAGTATGTGTGCATAATGAACTGAAAGAAGACTGAACGTACTTGGTTCACCGAAGTACGGAAACATGCACCATGTCCTAATGGCTTGATTCAATGTATAAAAAATTAAGCTAAATGATTAAAGGTATTTTCAAACAATTAAGGCAGTTTTACGTGCAATGTGTGAAGCATTGTACCTCTAGTAAATATTATCACCTGCGAATTTGTGTAAGTGATTAAACCAACTTAAATGCGTGTGTAAGAAAGCATTTACGAAAAATCTTATATAAAAGACGAAAAAATGCAACTTAAATTTCGCGAATGAAGTTTAAATCAGGCTAGTTCAAAACATTCTCGAACCAATTTCATTAGGTTTTGTATAACCCATATAGCTGACAGTTCGATTGTCGCGTCCGACGATGTCCACCGTGGGCTCCACAGCAAGGTGAGTGTAGGGACGGTGATTGATGCGTGAATTAGTTTATAGTGAGAACAGACTTGTTCAGCATCAACTGCATTCTCTCTTCCCCACTCCCCACCTGGCCCGGTGTCAATACAAAGTCCATAAGACTGGAGGCAGGAGAGGGTGCAGGTGGCTGGCACGGCTGTACCCACACCTAGGCGTACCCCCACATCCCCTGGTCCACAACAAACACTTGACCAATATTACAACCAACAACAAAAATGGGTCAGAAAAATGAGAGAATGACACAAGTCACTGGGCGACCATGCACACGGCCTATATACCCAGTGGGAGCGCAAACGCATCTACGGGCAGGGAACCAGCTGCCAGGGAACTGCCAGCGTGCACCAGGCTGCGACGGCCATGGTTTGCTGAATCATGGCATAACAGACGCACACGATGCCTATAAGCATGACCCACACGAATCTTTTAACAAATACTGCAGCATTCCGCATGACATGTCGTTGGAAAGCATTAGAGAGGTCGTTTTTTCCTATCGAATTATTTTTTGGCAACAATAGAGTGAAGGACCCCAAATAGCTGTCCGTAGACTGTGGATAGTGTGCCGATGCATGTACTGGTAAAATCTAGTTAAGTACTAATAACTGACAGTTTCGCCCAAGAGCGGAGAAACCAAAAACGGAGACCAACTCAGTATGCATTTGGGGATAACAGGAACGTCTGTCAGGAGATAGGCTCAGTTTTTCAATGGTCAGACACTTATTCAAGATGGAACGCCACGGAATGTCCACTCGGATACCATATCTGCATACAACTATCATTTTACTCGAAAGTACCGTGGTTTCCGCCGACCGTCTTCTGTG